GTGCGCGGTGTACTGTTTAGTCCAAAAAAGCACGGCAGACGAAATAAAGTTTGTGTATGGCGAACAGCTGATGAAAAGTCACAAGGAAGTCGTCGTAAAGAACATGCGAGTGATTTTACCTCTGGTAATAGAGAGCGGATACGCTCTACATAAATGTGATGACATCCGAAACATCATCGAACTCAAAAATGACGACTTGGAAACTCTTTTGGAGATCTGTCGGAAGTACAACGATGAAAGAAGTGTGTTACTGATATACCGGAAGTTAAAACAGTTTGATGAGTGCTTTAAATGTATCAGAGAGAGGATTAAAGGTGTTGCACCACTACAAGAAGAGCAAATCTTGATTAGTAAAGAAATGGTACAGCAAACTATTCAAAATAATACGGTAAAATGCCACGAAGATTTACAAAGTGACGACAAGACAAGTGAATCACAACAGAAAGAGGAAAAAATCATTCAAAAATTTGTGATTGGAACACAAGAAGAAAGAAAGCCGATCAGTTCGACAGTTCAGGACATCAAAGGGATTTTAGACGATATGAGAGATGTCGTGAGCGCTTATTTAACGGCAGAGAAACGTGAAATACTGAACACGAATGATACCGTTATACTGATTATGAAAAAGATATATGAGGTCTTCTCTACTAACACTGAAGTGCTTGAAAGGCTTCAAAAGGAGTATAGAGAAGTCGTTGAAGTGATCTGTGAAAAGAGTCCTATTGAAAGTTCTTTAAAGTTCTGTCAAGAAATATGTACGGGAAATACACTGAAATTGGTCTTAAGAGACTTACTCGTTCAAACACAACGCAACATCGCACTGTTAAAAAACATCCACGTCATCGCTAATTCCCAAATGAAAAAGTCAAAACAATGTCAACTTTCGGATTTAAAGCAGTTTGTTAGTTATAATATAGTTTATAATAATTAATAAATAATAATAATAATAATAATAATAATAATAATAATAATAATAATAATAATAATAATAATAATAATAATAATAATTATTATTATTATTATTATTATTATTATTATTATTATTAAGTAACAATTAACATATAGTGGCGTCATAACGTGTAACACATGTGTGTTGTGTAAGCAAAAGAGAGAAGACAGTTTCGTGTCGTTTGGATGTGGACACTGTTATCATACTACTTGTATCAGTTCGTCGTGTGTTTGCCTTATATGTAATGGATTGGCTTGATCTCATTTCTATACAAATACTCTCATTTGAATATAACTTTTTTTATTATTTTAGTGTTTTGTTAATAAATAGTATAAAATTCCATTTTAACCTTAGAACGCTGATTCAAATCCACTTATTTTCTATCCCCTCCCGTCGGGACCAAC